GTAAAACTTGACTAATAACTGAATAAAAGAGAATCGACCAAGAGGTCACCTTAAAAAAAAAAAAAAAAAAAAAAAAAGAATTTAAAAATGCAATTGTATTGAAAATTTGTATTTGAATTTAATTGTTTGCATGCATCATATTGTTGCTCGAATTATGAGAATTTTAAGTGTATATGACCCAAATATTACATTTTTGCCGAATAATATTGATCCGAATATCATGATATTTTGGCAAATTCAAATATTCGGCAATACGTCATCAAGTGCTAAAAAATAACGGTCAGTTGCTGCGCCATGATCATATGAGTTTGTCGGATAAAGTAATTTAAGTATAATCGATAAATTTAAATAATTGACCCTGATCAAATTGTCATATCATGGGGACAAGTTACTAACAATCAAAATAAAACCAAAAAGCTTTATTAATTCAAATTAACTATTAGAGCTAAATGAACATTACATTAACCCGGCCTTTTAATTTAATAGTAATAATTTCGATACTAATATTAGTTATATTTGGTACTTGAATTTTTGCGAAACAATTACTTTAGTCACTCAACACCAGTTAACTTTGTTGGAATTATATTATATTCTGGTTAAACACTGTATACACATGTTTAAGCATTTGAGTAATACTCAGCAAAAAAAAAATCTATATGCTACTCATCTAGTTTTGTTTACATTACTGAATAACGCATTTTCTAATAATACTCAGTAAAAAAATTTAAATATGCTAAATCAGTTGAAGCGATATACTGTACTGAGTAGGGTATTACCTAAAAAAAATACCTGATCAATATTTTGCGATAACTTATTGGCATCATTAAATTAATCATTAAATTAGCAGACCATTTCTGTTATGTTATTCAAGATCATCATTTTGAAGCAATTCCATCGTTATGTAAATTATATTGGAAAAGATAATTTTATGGGTAATCATATACCCGTACCAGGTGGGATCGTTCAGACGAATGAATAAATATTTATTGAATTGCGTACGAATAATTGGATAACGTATATCCGTTCGTTAGCCTCAAATTAGTGTGGACTATCTGAAGGAAACCTTGTTCTGTCATTTGTAAAATCTAAGAGGTCTCTTCGACCGAAATATATTACTTTTTAATATTTTGACATTTATACAAAATAAATAGTGCTGCATATTTCTTATTTAAGACGAGCGACAATTATATATACTGCATATGCAAAATATGACCGATTAATTATTTATACTAAACAAGGAATTCCTCGTGAATAAGAATATGGATGCTAATCTTGTAATTAGAATGTAAGCACTTTATGGAAAAGTTTTCGAACAAATTTAACTATTTTTATGATCCAAGGCTTCAAATCCTACTTGCGGCAGTAAATTACTTCCAAATTTGTCTAGTTCAATCCAAGAATGGTCCATATAATAAATTTCATCATTTAAAATTGTAAGTTGTACTAACTGATAGGTCGTATTTAACCATTAGGTTTGTTAACATAAAGATTTGCATATTAATTGTTCCTTTTTTTTTCTGAAATAATTAAAAATTAAGAAATACTATTTGTAATGAACACAATTTCAGTTTAGATTAATTTTCGGGTGATCTATAGAAATTTTAAGATCACATCTTTACTCTTGTATTAGATTTATGTACGCATTTGTTTTACATGTCACAGGCGGTGACAGTAAGGGCCAATCAAATCGTGAACGAAAAATCAAAACAAAAATAATGCACCAGAACTTGCTAAAATTAGGGTCAGGGTTTTTTGTTAGAAAGCAGAAGACGAAATTTCTGAATAACGACAATTTTTTGAAATTTATTTCATGTTACCGATCTAATTGGTCGGCCGTACTTCGATGACTGTCACTGCCAATGACAAATAGACTTGCATAACTGTACTTATGCAAATTGGATCTACTATACTTCACCGACAACCATTTCACTGACAGCTCATTTAGCTGACATCATACCAACTTACAATTTAAAAAAAATATACCATATATGCAATTAATAAGATTATATGATAGAAATGATCGTTGGTGAGATACAGGACATGTGAAGATATGATCATGTACGGTACGTACGTACGTACGTATAATGGTAACTGTCGACAAATTAAAATATCAATTAAATGAGCAAATAAGTTTTTCCAGTTTTTTTTTATTCAAGAAATCAGTAGTAATGAATATTAGTGGTTCATTTGCTATCTTTTATTGTTTAATGCGTCCTAAAATGTATTAATCTATGTCATTCAAATAGAATGATTATTTATAATTTGCTAAGTTAATCGAATTTCTTTTTTGAAGAAATTACTGAAATTACGAATAAACTTTTTTATATGAATGAATTTTATTCAAATCTTTGGTACGTATGTGCATACGTATTGTACATATATCGTAATTTTATTAGAAAATTTTTGATATTTTATTTTTAGCAAATGTATTTGAATAATTTATAATGGCATTGACTTTATTCTGCTATTATATTTAAGTTCCAGCATTATAGAATTTATTAGTTTGTCATAAGAAAATCTACTAACGCTATTAATGATACTATCACAATGATTCCAGTAGGAGCTAAGAGTCCGATGACTATGATGACTACCATAAAAGTGTGTATGCAAGACCCGGATCTCGTACATTCCACCAAAAAAATTAATTAGTAAAAAAAAAGATAATTATTAAAAAATGAGGGTGGGTCTGATATACGGGGAATTTTATACGTACTTTTACAGTATATAGCTAAAATAGAAACAATGAAAGGTCTCAGAATTTACTTGTGGCTTATATTTCTGACTTTCAAAGTCAGCAAATGAAATAGACGTTATATTTTATAAACTCTAAACTTTTTGGTTTTGATGATACTATTTCTATTATAAAATAGAATTTATATATCACTTATTTCGAAATAAATTAATCATTAAAATCGGATGCCCAGTCGTTAATTCTGAAACCTCCAATATGTAATATTGGTTAACATTAAGTAAGGTATCTTAAAATATTCGCTAATGCTAACACAAAAATACAAATTATATGCTTCTATTGTTAGCTTATAATTCATATTTGATCGATAAATGCACACTCGCTGAACAAGTTACGCAATAAGTATACAATATTGAGCAAAATTTGTCGAATAACGGTAATTTGGCAAACTGGGGCAAATGAACACGTGCCGCGGAGCGGCACGTGAGCCAATCATTTGCCCGGTTGAGCCAAATTATCGTATTCGACAAATTGCCCAATATTGGTGTTATCCGGCAATTTATCGTAGGGAGTCACCGACTGAGTTTTAATTTGAATAAACATGATTACATCGTAACACATGAAAAAAAATAACAAGACAGATGGCAATTCATGATCATAAGAGTTTGCCGGATAAGGTATTATTGTTATACGTATAGGGTGTAATCAAGACTATACAAGAAAGGATAGTAAACAAGCTATAAAAATAAACTTTAGTTATTAAATCTGATTTAGCCATTCCGCATCACTTATAACACTTGCATCTTGCATGACTGTACCACCTTAACTAATAGGGAATTTCATAATTAATATATTTTTGAAATTAAGTGGGAGATTAAAAGATCCTACTATTTTTAAAATTTCCGATTCAGTAAAATTAAATATGCATACACGTTAATAAAATTGATAAATATCTACCGGTAAATGATTATGTAAATAAGTCTATACGTTAAAAAAGTATTTTGAAGTAAATACGTCGCTTATTTTATCTGAAATCAAAAGCCGAATCATTAATTATGAAACCCCCTAATGATGAAACATAAAATTTATTCGCATGATTTAAACTTAATTAATTTTGCAATTTTAATTTAATTCTACATGGATTCTTTTAAATATTATTGCTTCTTTTGCCTACATATTTTTCTTTCCTGGATTTTTACTAGTGTGAACGGTTTTACGCCGGTCGGCCGTTACAGACAAAGTAGTGCTCTTGTAGGAAATAGGCTTTACTTTTTTGGTAGCGCTGTTTATACAGAAGCAAGGGACAATTTGTTCCTTGATGTAACCCTTTCAACGCTAAATACATCAAATCCTTTATGGTTCTCAAATGTTTCAGTCCCAACTGATTCTGCACTTGCAAGTGCATGTGTTGGTGGTCCTAATAAAAATGCGATATATCTTTTAGAACATCTTAATGCAACTAATGCACCTAGTAATACAACTATAGTTTATGTCTTTGATACTGTAAGCGGAAGATGGACTCCACCCATTATGAACGGGACGCCCCCTGCAAATCGACAACAATTTCAAGCTGTCAATGACACTAATGGCAAGATATATATGTATGCTTATTTTTTATCTTTATTCTATCTTTGTATTATCTTTATTATTATATCTTTAATTTGAATTTCTTAGGTTTGGAGGAATCAGCAGTACTAGTTTTGATGTTCTTAATGACATTTTTATACTTGATACTTTACTCTCGACTTGGGCACCGGGCTCTATTGTTGGTGCACCAACGGGACGTGTGGACTTTTCTGCTACACTCTTAAATAATGGTCTTATACTTTATATAGGAGGTATAGGAGGTGGTGATAGCATTAATATGGCAGAAGTAATTAACGGTTAAAGATAATTAAGTATTTAAAAATTATTATTATTTAAGTCGTTGAGGTATTAAATTATTGTTTTTTTTTTCTTTTTTACTTTCCGAGTTAGATTTCGATTTTTAATACAAATAATAATTCATGGTTTCCAATGGTAATGCTCATAACAAACTTTTTTACATTTTAAATTTCATATTTCCTTATCTAATAAAGTAAATATAAATTATTAGAATGCTGTTGGTGATACAATAACCTCTAGAAGTTCTCATTCTGCGGTATTATCTCCAGATGGGCATGTTATAATTTATGGTGGAAATAGCAATAATATTGCTTTTAATCAAAGCCAACAGCTAGCTACATTAGATACGACTGTTAATCCGTACAAATGGACCAAAAAGTCATTGAATGGTTATAATATACCACCTCCACTTTCTTTCCATTCTGCTGCCATAGTAGGAAACTTTATGATTTTAGCATTTGGTAATTATATGATTCATTTAATTTATTATATATATATATCTATATAGTGTTAATTTATTTTTAATCTATAAAGGCATATCTGGTAAAAGTAATTATGCTTATGACTTGAATATTACGAATTCGCAATTATATCTTCTTGATACTCGAAATTACACGTGGGTCACGGACACATTGCAACAACCTAATTTTACTACTTCACCTAATCCCTCAGTTACTCAAATTCAAACTGTTATTGCCTCAGAATCTACAACATTAAGTACAGGGGTAATCGTGGCAATTCCTATAGTTTCAATTGCTGTTCTTGCAATAATAGGCTTTACAGGATATTGGCTTTATAAAAGGAATAAACAAAATGATATCATTCATATAGCAGGTTCTAAAGTAGGGTAATAATATTTATATGTTTCAATAAATTCTATTAGTTATAATCCATGTATGAATTTTTTGATTTTTAAATATAAGTCATCTAGATACGTAGTAAATTACTTCGAAAAATTCTGCGCTATGCGAGGTGCCAGCCATCCCCATAGGAAGACTTTCGTATGATTGGCTGTTTAAATCAATTTAATTTTACATTATTTATACAGTTTAAAGTACTTT